CCACAAAGCAACGCTCCGATAAGCTAGTTTGGCCCCGCGCCCAACGCTACGGGCAAAAAAAAAAAACCGCAGTTGCACTCACGCACCGCACTGCACTACCGCACTCTCGCACTCACGCACCGCACCCCACTCCCGCACTCGCCCGCTTCGGTTTTCGCTGCCCGCCCGCGTCGGCTCGGCCCTCCGCCCCTTGCCCGCTTCGCTTTTCCCTGCCCGCTACTTTCCCCGCCCGTCTCTGTGTGGGCCTCGGCCCTGGGCCGGTTCCCCCGCGTCGGCTCGGCCCTCCGCCCCTTGGCCGCTTCGCTTTTCCCTGCCCCCCGCTACGGTCGACACCTCCTCCCGACCGCGGTGTCCCAAGCGGTTTCCGCTGGGCCCGCGACCGACCATATCGCCAGACCCTTTGCTTGCTTTAGTATGTATAGAGAAACAACGAAGTGTCATTTCCCCCCCCTCTTCTCTTAAAATCTGCTTGTCTGGAAGGAAAAACAATCAGCAACACAAAGGAAAAAGGTTGTATGTTTCTTTGACTTCATCCCTGTATTTTGGTTGCTGCAAATCCTATGGCATTTGTAATTTATATCAATGTTTGGGTCAGTTGTCTGCAGGAAACATCTATCGGCAAAACCAATTTTAAGAGTTCGTCCCTTGCCGAAGCCAGTTCCACATCGCCCATTATCAGCTCGAGCACTAGGGAAATTTCCAGTTTCTGCAGAAGTAAGTTCTTTGGAGGCAACCTACCAAACTTTTGGGCCCCGGTTTTCCATGTTAACCTATTGTCAGGAGGACGCCATTGAATTTCTCCTTAACTGTACCCCATCAACTCCCCTTCGCTCCTCTTCTCCTCACTTCTGCACATATTGATTAACATTCCCTATTCTCCTTGTCTGAACCCACCTTAGACACATTCTGTGTGTGTGTGTATTTGTCGGTTGTCATATTCTCTATACAGTGTATACACTCAAAAAAAGCATGACTGTGCCAGACTGTTTCGTCGGACTTTCGCCGACTCATCACGAGGTTGAGTGTGTGTGTGATATGCTCGCTATTGCAATGGACCACTTAGTTCGTCACCTCATGCACATGCGCAATGAGAGATCACACGAAAACCACACTGGAGACGAGAGATGAAAAGTCCAGATTAGCGCAGCTTAGGAAAAAAATAAAAATAAAAAAAATCCAACGAATTATCATATTAAACAGTTTCAGAGTTCCGGTCACCAAGCACTCAACAGCGCAGAGTTCAGCAACCCAATTCCAGCATCCTCATCAATTAAGGTGACTCTCTCTCTCTCTCTCTCTCTCTCTCTCTCTCTCTCTCTCTCTCTCTCTCTCTCTCTCTCTCTCTCTCTCTCTATCCATCCATCCATCCATCCATCCATCCATCCATCCATCCATCTTGACTCTGGAGTTTGGATACATCCGCCCACTACCCATCTCTACTCCTACTACTACGCTGAGCGGCTATGGCCGCCTTCCTTCCATAGCGCAGTGCTGCCCAGCCAGGGCCCTAGCGCTGGTCAACTCGCAAATTGCGCACAAGCGCTCAGCAGCGCTTCCACTTCCCGCAAATGAGAAATCTCCTAGAATGTGGCTGGCCAGTCTCTGTATTGACTTGGACTGGGCCTTGACTCCCCCAGCCTCTGCTGCTTCTCTTGGCTTGACTTGGACCCGGTACCGGCAGCCCGCAGCCTGTTTGCTTTCGGAATGTTGAGGCCCGGTACCTCCCTGAGTTTTCCTTGCTGTGCTGCTGCTTTTTGGTCTGTGGACATGACCTTTGATTGTGCGACGTGACTCTTGCCTGTGGGATGTGACTTTTGACTGTGGGACGTGACTTTTGCCTGTGGATGTGACTTTTGACTGGGTACCGATTGGACTTGACCTCTGGGGTACCCATCTTAACCTTTCTGAGTCTAGCCGAACTGGCCTCTTTCGACTTGGGGACTTTTGTCCCTGAGTCCCGAATTTGGGGTCTACAGCGTGAAATGCCTTTCTGGCTCGCCGGCCTGATTTCGAGGTCCCCCAAGAAAGTTGCAAACTTTATTTGTCAACTACGTTAATTCCTCTTCTAGCCCTTTCATAATAAGACACTATGTGCAGTGCTGTTTCTAGTAGCTCATCTCTAGTAAACCAGCAATCTTCCGAAGGTTCTTGATAAGCAAATCTGACTTTATATTGTCGTTGGGGCGTCCAGATCTATAAACGTCCTCTGCAACGATGCGGTCTACGTCATACTTGCCATCCATATCAGGAGGAATCATAGATCTTCGAGACAAAAATAGATCATTGCTGATGCAAGGGAGCAACTTAGAGGCATGAAACACCGGGTAAGTGTGCAAATGTGCAGGTATTTCAACGACATAGGAAGGGCCATCCACATCACCAATCACGTCAAGAATCTGTCACGGTCCCCTATATGCAGGCAATAGTTTCTATGAGATGTTCTCCTCTGGCAGAAACTCCTTGGACTTCACCCAGACCAAGTCCCCTACAGCAAACAGTGAAGGTTTGCAGTGCTTATTTGCCTGTTCAATCATCTGATGCCGTGCCTTCGTTATACTTTCCCTTACTTTCTCTAAGTTGTAGTGCACAACGAATTCTCTAGTCCCTGGAGGAAGCCTTTGCACCCGATCAGGGTTCATACAGTCAGCGGGCCTGCGTGGGCGCCATCCTAAATGCAGTTCAGTGGGCGTCCTTGCTGTAGCTAGATGTACAGAGTTGTTGTAGGCACTAGCTACTTTAAGAAGATGCTCATTCCAGTCGATCTAATTTGATCGTATATACATGCACAAGATTTGCTGCAACACCTTGTTCATCTGTTCGGTCTGTCCGTTTGTCTTAGGATGTCTGCCTAAAGACATAGTCAGTTTGGATCCGTTGACGTTCACAAGTTGTTGCCAGTGCTCGCACGTAAATCGTGTATCCCGGTCACTTAGAACAGTCAAAGGATACACGTTGTCTTTCACCCAATGATTGAAAAACTCCCGAATCACTAAGTTTGTTCTAGCTTCAGCCGAGAGTGGCACAAAAACAGCAAACTTGCTCAACCTGTCCACCATTACCATAACTTGGCTCTTTCCGTTTCTACTTCTAACCTTAGTGTCCATGAAGTCTATAGACACGGAGTCTCCGGGACCTGATGGTATAGGCAGCGGTCTTCGTAACCCAAGGGGAGGCTGCGTGGAACTGTTGTTCCTCTGACACACTTTGCAGCCTTGCACTAAGCTATGCAATCATGCTTCATTCCAAACCACGTGTCTGAACACAAGAGGTTAGCATACGTCTTCCTCTAACCGAAGTCTCCCTCAGTATCGTGACATTCCCCTAAGATCAGATTGCGAACCTCCTCGCTGTTCAGTATGCACAATCTGCCGTGCACGTCCGTCTTTTCAAACTACAGTCCCTGGGTCATCCTGTAATTCAGAACTTCATGCGGCCGTCCGCACCTTGTTAATCAACTGATTGTAGACAGGATCACTAGCCTAAGCGGTTCTAATCTTTTCTTGTAATTCAGCGCCAGCATCTAAATATGTCACTATGGCACCGAAGAAATCAGCTCGTCTGCTTAACGTATCAGCAACAACAATGTACTTCCCCTTTACTACCTTAAGTTTAAAGTCTAACTGGTCTATCTCCCCAACTCACCTTGTCAACTTAAGTGTCTCATGGTCCGAACTTTGAAATGTCATCCTAGGAGGTAATCGCCAATGATTCAAGGCTTCTCTAAGAGCGAACAGCTCTCTCTCGTATGTGGAAGCCACGACCTTCTCACTAGATAGTCTACATGACATAAACTCGACGGGCCTGTACCCAATACCGTCATTCTGCTGAAGTACAACACCAATCTCGTCTTGACTGGCGTCAGTGGTAACTATAAATGGCAAAGATGGGTCCGTGATCTTTAGAACCGGGTACTCCATCAAACACTTCTTAAGAGACTTGAAGGATGAGGTGCAGTCCTTATTTCATTTCCAGACTGTTTCCTTCCTCAACAACCTACGCAATGGAGCAGCTATTACAGTAAGTTTTGTACAAACTGGCGGTAATAATTGGTCAGACCAAGGAACAACCGCAGTTCTATCAACATATGCGGTGTCGGTCAGTCTGAGTCCGCAGTCATTATAGAGGCAACCTCTACTGGCTGTTCCCTTTTGGATACCTATATTCGGGATAAAAGGGAACAATGTGGTCGGGGTCACCACACTTAAAGCACTGGTTGGCCTGGCGCCGTGCTTCCCAAACCTTCTCATTTATACCCATTTGTTCCCAAGGTTTGCCCTCAACCAACTATCCCTGGTGTGCTGGGTATGGTCACCAACTCCTACCTCTACCTCTACCCCGTATGAAGGAGAACCTCCACCACCTTGCAAGGGACCATTAACCCTATCTCCCACGTAGTAGCTTCCTTCACCACTAACCCTCTGGGCAGCGAGTCCTCGACCTCCACCTCTACCTCAACCTCCTCTACCTCGACCTTTACCTTGTCGCCCTCCCCCACGGGCTGCAACTGCCGCATAGTCCCCTCCCCGGGCTACTTGGTGGTTGTTATCTTCCTCTAGACCGTAGTCTATTTGGTCATATGGCAGTGACTCCACAACTCCTTCCTCGAAGGTGACTAACAAATTATCCTTTCCTTCTATACTACCTGATATAGTTTTATTCTTCCATCTCTTACCAGCCTGCAGGTCCTTCCAATAATGGCAATAGTTTGCCTCTTGCAGGAACCCAACATGGCCTACAACTATCTTGCTGAATTTCTCATATGTCATCCCCTCTTCCTTAGTACGGGGATATAACTGTCTCAAGGTGTTCTGGCAGCGCTCTGGCGAAGTGTCAATATCTAGGCGGGGGTCAGACCATGATCAGGACATTGTAGCAGCTCGTTCATAGTGGCCTTGAGTGCAGAAGCACTCTTCCACTTGCGGTCACTTATGTTAAGGATAGGTGCTGAGTACGACGCGCTAAATTCTTGTCCTCAGAGTGGTCTTTCAGGGCCTTGAAAAAGTCCTCAATCCTAGTCCGTTGTGAGTATTGCACCATTGAGGTGCAACCTGCGTCTTTTACTAACGAAATTGCGACGCTAGCTGCGTCTCCCCCTAGGCATGAACTTGCCATGAGTACGCGGTCGCAATACGGAATGAACTGGGAGTACAGGTAGGTATCCATTGCTGCCTCCCAGCGGAAGATACTCTCTTCCCTTTTCCCTGTATATGTCCAGGGGACCTTTACCTTCATCTTCTCTATGTGTTCTCCTTCCTCAGACTTATCTCCTTCACCTTTCTTTCCATCTTCCTTCCTAGGACCCTTTCCTTTCTTGTCACCGTCACCATTATCTCCACCCTTGCCTCCACTACGGCCACCTCCCAAGGCTACAAACGCGATGGTGTTAGTCAACTTTTGGGTGAAGAGTTCGTCTAATTGATGGGCGTAGTCAAGGATCCTCTTATCAACCATGTGGGAAGAGGCACTGAGGAAATTATTCCATGTGCCTTGGAATTCCTCTTGATGTCTCTCAAGTTTCCCGAGAGATTTCTGCAGCACAACGAGTTCCAGGCGGGTGGTGTGCAGCAGCATGTCAGCGATGAGGCTCAAGTTTTCTTTGACATCCCCTTCCTTGTTTTTTTGCTCTCTCAGCAAGTTGAAGCTTTTCCCCTTCTTCCCTCAATCTTTTCTTTTCATCATATTCTTTCCTTTTTTGATAAAGCAATCGCTGATCA